CTTTAGCCAGCACCATTCGATAATCTCGTTTCCGTGTTGCATGGCCTGGAAAGTTCATGCAATGTCCTTTAGAACACGTTAAGAGATGAACACAGATGAATATTTTGTAGAATATTCGCTGCTCGCTCTTAAGAAAATTTGATCCCAAAATATATATAGGGTATGCCCACTAATCGTAGAGAGGGACACAGAAAACGAGAAAGTAAACTTGCAACAATTCCCGACTGTTTGCCTGATAATCATTTAACACTTTTCCACATCTTTTCTCCTTCTTCCCGCAGATACAAATTAAAAAGAAAAAAAAAAAAAGAAAATGCCACAGCCAAAAGCAGCAGCCACAATGCATACAAATGAACGGAGGAGCAGGACCAGAACCAGAACGAGGAGTCACGTAGCATGGAGGCAAAATGGATAGTCAGAGGAGGTTCTAATTAAGCCAAGACCGAGACGGGGCCTTGGGTTCTCGGCCAGAATTAATGGAGCCAGCTAGCCTAGAGAGCGAAATAAGCAGAGAGGGAGAGAGAGAGCAAGATGGAGCAAGTATTTCGGGTGTTCACACAAATTAAATTTCATCAAGTTTATTTGCTGTAAATGAGGCAACATCCAGCAGTGGAGGAGACGCAACAGACGCTGCCGCATACCCCAGATCCCAGATGTCTCATAATTTAATTTGTGCCCCCAGTCCCACCAAAACCCCTTCCTTATTTGCCTGAGCTGAGAGCTAGCACGTGTTGCCATGTAACACTTTAAATGTTTCCAAGGCAAATGGAGAGAGAGCTCACACTCACACATAAATAGAGAGAGAGCTAAACATACACCCACACAGATACTATTTACGAGCTAGATTTGTTCCATGTAAATAGTCATTATAATTATTATTATGCACGTAATTATGATTTCTGTTCTAAGGAAAAAAACGAAATTACAACTCTAAACGCCCCTTGACGAAAATATCTACAAATATTTATTACAAAAATTTCATATTTGTGCAACAAACAAAAATTGTAACAAAAAAAAAACGGGAAGAGACGAAGCGGAGAAGCTGCTAAAGGAAAAATCTATTAATTAGTAATTATTATAATGTGATGTTATATATAAAAAATCAATCGCTAAAGCAAACTAAACAAAGAAAAGAAAAATACAACAAAAATATGGAACGAAGAAGCAAGCGGTCAAGCGGTATAAAACAATTGTTAACCAACATAACAAAACTTTCATTAAGTAGATTTTTCGAATTACATTTAAAATATATTAAATTAATTAACAAATAGAATGAAACGATTGAACGAACGAGACGAAACGGAACGGAACGGAACGGAAAGGGAAGGGAACACACAATCCACATAAATTTGCTGTAAACACGAAAATAAAATGCGTTTTTCTACTCAACATGAACAAAACAAAACAAAAACCAACAAAAAATGGATATGTAAAATGATTTTTCCAAAATTTAGAGATTAACCCCCCTATAATCGTAACTAAATATATAGTAAACCAATTTATATATATACATACGTATATTCTATGTAAATGTCGGAGATACTTCAGTTATTCGTGTGTGTGCTATATCTTCTATATACCTCTTTCTATATCTATATCTATATAAATATATATGGAGGAGAGAACGCGCTTGGCTTGTCTGTCGTCTAGCAAGCAAACTCAAGCCGAGGCCTGGTTCTGCTCTAGCCCCAATCATTGTTCAGATATACTATACACAAAAAGAGAGGGAGGAGAGCTACATATTATCCCTTATCCCCTACAATTTATTGTATTTATTCTCTATATATATCTCTCTCTCTCTCTCTCTCTCTCTTCATCGATGTGTTCGTTTCTTATAAAACAAAAAACAAAACAAAAACTTGTATAACATCGGGCTCTCCTCTCTACGCACTTGAGACACGGCAAAATCTTTGTAAAATATTATACGAAAATAATGAATTGTACAATTGAAAAGTGCAACAGAGCGAGAGATGGAGCAAAGGAGGTTTTAGTTTTTCTACTTGAATCGCATTTCTTCCACTTATCACCCAAGAATCAGATTTTGAGTCTCCTTTAGACCTCAAGCTCAAAAATAAACACTGATAGAGAAAATGCCACAACTAATTGAAACGAAATTTGGTAGGTTCTATTATTTAGTTGTCTTGTTATTTATACGTATGATTAAATCTAGTTTTGTGTCTAATTTACGTTTAAGTTTTGGCTCTGCAATAAATACAAGAAAAAGAAAATACATACATACGACGACTATATATTTGTTTCTATAGTTTATTTTGCTTTTGTTTTATTATTTTCGAACGATGGAATAAAGAAACTAAAACCAAAACATTTATAAAACCAAACATAAACATAAATTGCTAAAATTAAGCGCAAAGTTCAATTAATACAAATTAGAATTTTAATATCAACATCATTTGGAATATTTATATATACACAAAATATATACAACTCGATATATGAATAATTAGTAAAACAAACAAAAAACAAAACAAAAATCAAATCAATTTCCATAAAAAAGACGAGAATAATCTTAGTAACGAGTGCAGCAACAGACACTCGTGCAATTGTACTTTAAAATTGAATAAAATTCAAAAAAACCCAAAGGAAAAATAAAAAAAAACTACTGAGAAGGAAGCGAAAGAAGGCAAGAGAATAGCATAAATGAAACAGAAGGAGTGGAGTGGAATACATAGGATGATAGCAGGAGCAGCACCTCCTAAAGCCCGAGGGCTACGTGGCACAGGGCTGCCTTCATAGCCTTTAAAAGTGCCACAGCCACAGACAGACAGACAGACACAAAGACACAAAACACACAAGCAGACACACGGAGATAAAACAAGACCACGCGCGAGCAGAGTTCGTCTTGGCATAAAAAAGAGTACAGAGTGAGTTGATTGTTAGCCAGATCGTAATTGCAATAGAAAAGGGGTTACAAATGAAGCGAAAGAAAAAGAAAGAGCGAGAACTGAAGCCCATTCAGCGGTGGGAGGCCAAGCAGGAGTTGAGTGTCAGCGAGAGACAGAGCCTAGAGAGCCTAAGCTAGAACGAGGTAAAGAAAAAGCGTAAAGAAAGTGCATGATTGGTTGGCGGCTGTGTCGTGCATTGGGAGCAGCAATTGCAACAATAATTCCAGGCATATCGAAGCATTTTTACACAAAAACTAAAAACGAAAACACTCGGACGACAGCAATCAGTGAATCGGCACACAAAACTGACGGCAATAACAAGTTAAAGTTTAGTACTTAAAAACTAATAACAAACAAAAAGAAACCCATACAAATACAAATACAAATACGAATACAAAGAAAAAACCAACTTCAACAGCAACAGATGATGTGAACTTAAATAAAAATGGAACCAGAAGAGAGCGAAGACAAACACGAAGGAAGAGAGCCCACAGAGAACACAGCACACTAGAGCCACATAAAAAAACACACACGAGACACAAAGAATAATTACTTAACGCGGGATTCACATATGTATATTCAAGAAGCAATAATGAAGATATATTTCCAAATAGAACTATGATAAAAACTAAAACAAAAACAAAAACAAAAACAAAAACAAGAAAACGCCCCAAAGAAAATTCGAAAAAACTAACATGAATATAATATTTATACATAATATATTTTAATTATAGTTACAAATTAGCATATACATAAATATATATATAAATATACATGCATAAAACCGATATATATATACATATATGAATATATATATATATATATATAGTCCAAACAAATTAGCAAAACAAAAAGAAACCGGAAAAAACGAAATAAAAGTTTAATATTTACAAAATATTAAAATATCAATGTGCAATTTAAAAAGCGTTTAAAACAAAACAAATACAATAACAGACACACACACAACTAATACACCTATATATACACAGACACACACACACATATAGAAGGATATAAACATTATATAGATATATATATAACAGATCTATACATTTATATAAACCAAAAAACAAAAACAAATCGAAGAACAAAACTTAGTGGCGACAACAATTTACATAGCACACAGAATCCACAGCAAAAACCTACATAAAAAAAATCAAAAATTAATAAAAATAAACAAGAAAATAATACACGAAGCAAAAAAAAAAAAAAAAAAAAAAAAAAAAAAAAAAAAAAAAAAAAAAAAAAAAAAAAAAAAAAAAAAAAAAAAAAAAAAAAAAAAAAAAAAAAAAAAAAAAAAAAAAAAAAAAAAAAAAAAAAAAAAAAAAAAAAAAAAAAAAAAAAAAAAAAAAAAAAAAAAAAAAAAAAAAAAAAAAAAAAAAGACCGTGCTAAATGCTATAACAACAAAAAACACACGGTTCAAGTCAAGTTTTTGAGCAAATACTCATAATTGTTAAAAATGTTTAAATAAAGTAATAATAATAATGATAACAACAACAGAATGGGGAAGAATGGAAGATAAATCCATAACAAATTGCATATTACATATATTTTTTCTCTTCTTAGAAAATTTAGTTAAAAAAAAAGAATTACAAATTAAGTGTTAGTCTTATATATAAAAAATAAATCTATATAAAAAATTGAAAGACAACAAAAGTATGAAAATCATGGAATGTGCCGCCGACGAATGACGTGTGTGTGTGCAAAGTAAAAGAAACAAAGCAAAACACAAACATGAAATTGCATAGAACAATTCCGCAAACACCATGAAAGAAAAAAAACTTAAATTAAGAACTTAGATTTGCCTTTGTGTTTAATATCAAGTGTTTTCTCTTATTATCATCATTATCATCATATAATTTCAGTTCATTTTCAATTGGTCAGACATGAAATGATTTACTTACGTATTGATTGAGAAATAAAAATTATTAAACAAAAAGAACAACAACCATGAAAGGATGTTTTAATCTGTGTAAGTCTTGCGGGTGGATTGGGTGCGGGGGTTCTCGTCTTGCGTATGGTTTCCAAGGTTCCAATATCCAATATTTGCCCTTAAATAATCCCATTAATCATCCGTCACATGTTTCGCTTTGCAGGAGGATAGCTTATCAGTATGGAACCGGACTGCCACTGATATGACCAGTACAACGCGTATCCGTGATACGTTACGCAGGATATTAAATATACCTATAACAACTACAATGGAGTATAAGATACACTGTGATAGCCTTAAATATGTTTCAGTGTAAGTATTCAACAACCATCTAAAAGGTGATAGAGCGCTAAAGAAAGCCATTTTGAATGAACTTTGATTTTTAAAAATTAAACCCACCTGTACCTTCCTCAGCCTTCAAAGACCTCAATATCAACTTACATATTCATTTGAAATATTCAATAGATCGCTAATTCTATCAAAATATTTGCTGGAAGTCGATATTCTCAAGATACCTAAACATATTTGCAAGAAACGAATTTACTAACGCCTCAAAACTATATTTATTTTCTTATATTACAGTAATAAAGGCCCATTGAAGAGCTGAAATTCAATGAATAACTTTAAACCACAAAAGAGAAACAAAAACAATAATTTTTCAAACAGATAATACAAGTCACTAGTAAAGAAATCAGCAGAAACAGCAACAGTATCAAAAAACTACGCACACACCACACCGAACCATACCACACCGCCTCTACAGTCAGTCAATGATCAGAAGAACTTTGGAGCTTCTTCAGAACCACCACCACCACTTCAACCTGGAATCCCCATGAACAGCAGGACAAATTAATATTTAAGCGCTAATAAGACGAATCTTTGTATCGTGAAATGATCTGATCGTCTACAAAGTGTGTGTATATATGAAACGCAATGAATATTTTAGTTTGTATGTAAAAAGTTTTAAATTAGACATTCATTTCTATATTATATATTAAGTTCAAAGTTTAACATTCGACACTCTCTTTATTTGGAACCCCCACCCAACACAACCAAGCCTTGTATTGTAGCCTTATATCGATTGTAGTAGCTTCATAGCCACATATAGCCACCAGAATCCTTGCCTTCCCACAGAGACACACACAGCCACTCTAAATACCCAGAAGCACACCCACACTAGCTGATACTGTATTCATCTGTTTGCAATGATTATTTTACAATTACTGATAAACACCGAAACTGAATAATCAAATTGTTTGTTTTTGTTCTTGAAGAAATACACAAAAAAGTTTTTTACATGAAGAAAATGATGCGAAAAGAAATGAAAACTTAACAGAAAACAAAAACCAAAGTTGTTTTACATATACTTTTACCCGCAACCCACAGACTCATCCCGAGACCCAGTCCAGCTCAAGACCATCCCAATAAAGGAAACTATTAAAGTTGCAGACATTATTTTGACATACATCTAAAACTGATTCTTCTGATTGGTTTAAGTATTGTGATGTGCGATTTGTGTTGAATTTAAATCACAATCATTTCAAGCGTTGTACCTTGTCTCTTATATATGTATCCTGATGTGCTTAGGATGCTTTTCCATCAGCGAGAACGAGAACTCTGCTCTTTAAGGCCTGATAATTAAATTGGAATGATCCGTTTTAATTTTTATATGACAATTTAATTACATGTTTACTGGTTTTATTAGTGGAAATTCGGGACCGGTACTACACCTATAAGTAATATCTTAAAATGTTAAATGTTCGCCAAAAATGTCTTCGCTAATTGTCCTCGTAGATGGTCAAATCCATTATGTAGACATTTGATATAAGACAGTCTCCCTCCTGGAAAGGTAAACACAAAATTAACTTATAAGGGGATTATAAATGCATTTAATACTCACCGCTGGCGTAATGCCCACGAGGGCATCCGCATGGCCATAGAACTCTTCCTTGAGGGAAATGACAATGGTCTGCAGATTCGTGGTGTGATCCCTTATGTACGAGGCAACCTTGCCAATATTTGTGTTGTCCAAGGCGGCATCTATCTCGTCGAGCACAAAGAAAGGCGCTGGTTGGTAGCTAAGAAGAGAAGATTTATTAGCAAATCGGAAAAAATAAATTCAGATGAAAGCTTTCCTGCTTTCCTGCTTACCTGTGCGTGGAGAAGAGCAGTGCCAAAGCAGCAATGGTTTTTTCACCGCCACTCAAGTTGCTCATCGGCTGGAAACGTTTTCCGGGCGCCACGCAATTGTAGTTGATGCCATCCAGATAGGGTTCTTCGGGATTATCGGGTCCGATGTAGGCCTGGGCCGCTTCATTGCGTGCCAGTTTCTTGTAGATGCCATCAATGGCATCGGAGATGTGCTGACAGCATTGCACAAACCGAGAGGAGCGCTCGTTCTTCACCTTTTCAAAGTTTGCCTTGGCCTTTTTGGCCTTTCGTCGGGCATTCTCGAACTCCTCGTTGGTAGATTGTACTTTCTCTGTGACGGCATCGAGTTTCTGCATTGCCTTCATATTTGGTGTCTGTATGCGCTCCAGAACATCCAGCTTACCCTGCAGATCCTTCTGCAGCTGTTCATTGGCCTTCTTAAAGGCGGAATCATCCTTGAGCTTGGTGAACTCGCGAGGCAGCGATCGATAGTCGACCTCAATGCTGAAACGACAAAGACACAACACACGTTCCAATCAATATTGGCAGAAAAGCGAGAACAGATCCACTTACATATTATCCATTGTCATGGACATGGTACTGTTGTCCGCGTCGCTGCCGCGCACTGCATCGTCCAATGAGCCACGCAACAATGGCACCACAATACAATCGGTCTGTGCCAGAGGAATACAAAATATAATTGATAATTTTTGCAACAATTTTGCACTCACCTTGGCCTGCAGCAGTATGTTCTGGCGTTCGTTCTTCTTGGCCTCAATCTTCGACTCGACGGAGGACATTTGGCTGCCAACATTGTGAATTTCTTTGGCCAAATTGGCAACGTCTCGCCGTGCCTTGGAGATGTCCTCTTCCATATCGTCGACCGCCTGCTTCTTGGACTGCTTATCTTGCTTGAATTTTTCCATCTTGTCCTTGTCCTCATCAATTTCTTTGAGATAGCGTGCCTCTGCCGTTTTCAGACCCTCCAAGGCATCCTCCTCATCCTGAACGCTGCGCTCCCAACGCTCAACGTTCTCTGTGGACCAAAAACAATTAGATGGGCAAATTCCTGATTGTTAGTGGGAAGTACATGCTTCGCGTATCCTTCTGCTTCTCAAAGTCCAGCTGTGAGTTAATCGCATCGACCTGCTGCTCGAATTCGGCTCGCTTGCGTGCCCTTTCCTGCTGCATGACCAGCTCGCGCTCCTCGTACTGGCGAATGTTCTTCACACCCAAGCGGCGGCAGAAGGCGGCAAATACTTTGTCCTCCACATTGTTCATGTTCTCCTTGATCTCCTGGATGTGCTCCTCGCGATTCTGCATACGACGCTCGATTTCACTGATTTTTGGCTACAAAAGAAGACGAAACTTTAGAGGATTGGCTGGGGATTGTGTGGGGGTGCATCAACTTACACCAAAATCATCCAGCTGGCTTTGCACTTGGGCCAGTTGATTGTCGTATTGGCCAATTGACTTCTTGGATGACTCCAAGTCGACCATGCTGTACTTAAGGCGGTTCTCCAGGCCCTTGATCTGCGACTCCACAGTCGCCAGTTCGCTCTGCTTACGTGACTTTTTAACGAGCTCCTTGAGCTCCTCGTTGAGTCGCTCCTTTTGCATCTTCAGCTGGGCCATGTGCTTCTCATCCCAACGCTTCGCCTTGCGCGCCAGATCGTGGCTGCCTCCGGAGATGAGGCCAGACTTTTGATAGAATGTTCCATCCAAAGCGAGGGCATCGAAGCGCGAACGATCGATCTCGTAGGCCACCTTCATGGCATCCTCGGGCGTCTCACAGACCAAAGCATTGCCTGTGGCAAACAGCACTGCACGCTCGATCTCCTGCGGCTCAAACTTCAGCACATCAAAGACCAGTCGTACGTTGCGCGGCTCGCTGATGTTGCGCAGGCGCTCCTTCAATGGCTTCACCTGTAGGTAATCAAGCGGCAGAAAGGTCTCCACCTCCAGCATTTGTTCTTTTAAGATCTGCAAAGGATATTCAATGGATTTCAGTATTTGGGAAGTGAAGGGAGTCTCAATGTGAGCCAACCTGAATGCAATGGCGTGCCGTCTTCTCCGAGTCCACAATGATGGCTTCCATGAACTTGCCCAGAACTTTGGTGACGGCCACATTGTAGCGCTTGTGGGTGGGCTGACACATGTTGATCATGCGATCATAGACGCCAGGCACCTGCTTCTTGAACAGCTCAACGACCTCTTGTTTCTTCTTGCGTCGTGCATCCTCGTGCTTGTCGCCCTTGGCGTCGCCCAGTTGTTCCCGCACATTCTCCAGCTCGCGCTGCTTTTCGGCAATCTTCTCCTTGGAGCTGCCCACATCTCGGCGCAGCTCATCCTTGATGCGATTCTGTTCTTCGAGTGCTGCCTGCGAGGATTTGATGTGGTCCATGAGCTTATCGCGCCGCTTGACGGCCTCCTCGCGCTGCAATGTCAGCTTCTTGAAAGACTCCTCGACGGAGGCTCTGCGATTTGTTTCGCCGTCGAGTGTGTCCTGCTCGGACTTTTGCTCACGGTTCACCGAATCCAACTCAGAGCGATACTGTGTGGCCGTGGCCTCGGCCTCCTGCTTCAATCGATCGTACTCCTGCACGAGACCCTCCTCCATGTTCACACTCTTTCCGCGCCGCTGCGACTCGTTCTCGATCTCGTCCTCAAAGCGCTTCTTCAGCTCCTCAATATCCGCCAGTTGCTTCTCCAGTTTTCGTATGTCCTGCTGATGGGCGTTGTCCGCCTCGCGAGCCGTCTCCAGGGTCTTTTGCAATGAAATTAGCTTCTTCTTGCAATGGGAAACCTTCTCCTTTGCCTTGATGTACAGCGGCCGTCGTTTGTTCATTTGCGTCTCAAATTCGCGAATCTCTTGATCGATTTTAGCCAAATCGCGTGTTATCTTGCCAGCGTCTTTCTTCTTCTCGCGCAGCACCTCGTCGGCTGCTTCCTTGCGCTGCTCGACGGCCTTCACCTCCAGTTGCTTCACCTCCATGTCGGCTATATACTTTTGGATATCCTTCTCCACATGGAACAGCCGAAACAGTTGATACTCCACTTGTTTATCATTCTAAAATTAGAATAAAGATTCAAGTTAGAGATTAGAGGATCAGTTTCGTGATGGCATGGGCCAATGGATGCGTACATATTCATTCTGTAGACGCGTATAGCGCTCGGCTTCCATTTTCTCGTGTTTGGCCTCCTTTCGCTCGGCTGCTATGCCCTTCTTCTTTTGGTAGGTAAACTGTGTCTCCTCCTCGGCCACAATCATTTCCTGCTTCAAGCGATTGTAGTCATCTTTGAGCAGGCCAGAGCTAGCAAAAGAAACAAACACACAATTTACAACATTCCAGATCCCAGCTTGGCCATGCACTTACCCGCTAATTTCCTCAAACAATGCTGTGCGCTCTTTTGGTGTCTTCATGGCAATGTTCTCGACAGCACCCTGGAAGACGAGAAAGTTCTTTGCCTTCACATTAATGCCAATCTTTTCCAGCTTGTTTAGGTAGGTGCTGCTCGAGACGCTCTGAAATTGCAATGAGATTAACCATTAGACATACGAACATGTTCTGAGGGGGGTTGTTTTCAGTTACCTCTCCATTGATGCGGTATTCCGAGGAGCCACTGATAACGGCGCGCTGAAAGTCCATATGCTTCTCCTCGTTCAATATAAACTTTGCCGTCACATAGCAGCTGCGAGACACTGGCTTGCCAATTGAGGAGCCGTGTATCAGATCGTTCAGGCGCTTCACACGAAGGCTGGAGGTCTTCTCACCCATCACAAAACTGATGGCGTCCATGAAGTTGGACTTGCCGGAGCCATTGGGGCCAATAACGGCATTAAACTGCTTCAGAGGACCCACAACAATGTGGCCGCGGTAGGACTTGAAGTTTTCCATCTCAATTGACTCCAGGAATGCAGTCTCGTCATCTGGCTTACGCACCGGAGGCGCCGCCACTCTGTGTGTAACTTCGTCATCCTCGTCGGCCATTTTAGCAATTAGCCAATATGAAAAGCACGAAAAATAACAATATTCGCGCGAAATATATTTTTTTTTCTCAACAAATGCTGCAGTGTGACCTCGAGTTTATCTGTAAAATATACCGTCTGACCCACATAAATATACCAAAATATACCCTCTCATTTCAAAAAATACCG